AATTTGGTATTTAAAACTCGTTGGAATGTTATAATTCGCTTCGGCATAAAACTCTTCCATATTAAAGAAACACATTTCTTTATTTGACAGATCTTTATAATTATATTTATAATAAGCCTATTCCTATCTCCTCTTCCTGTTCTAAAAATAGATACTGTTTATAAAAACGTTCTGTACTGCGTCTTTACAATTCATGTTTCATGTGTTTCTTTATGTGGAAAGTTCCAGAACTGTATAGGTGCTTCTTTTGGGAAAACCAATTTTATCAAGCTATCATCTGTTCTGTGTGCATTCAGACCATTACGAACACGTATCACTTAACAATGTTATAATCCAAAATTTCTCAAATTTGGTATTTAAAACTCGTTGGAATGTCCAGGTAACTTTCGCTTCGGCATAAAACTCTTCCATATTAAAGAAACACATTTCTTTATTTGACAGATCTTTATAATTAATATGTCGGCTACAGCTGCCATCGCATAAGAAATCAAACGTCGAGAAACGTTACCCAAGTTGACCTCTCACCTGTAAAATAATTCTTGCTTTGCCTTCATCACGACGTGAGTCTGAACTCTTTCCTGAGAATGACTCACGCAGTGATGCCACAACATTTGGTTAGTTACTCAATACCAAAAACTTTTATTTATGTGCAATTAGAATAGAGAACAATATATTAGATTCTAACTATACAAGGTGTCTGAAAAGGTCTTTGCCAAACTTAACATGCTGGTTTGTCATACCATGACAAAGAAGATTTATGTAGGAGCTTGTGCTCGAAAATGCGAACTGCGACAGCTAGCGGGCAGTGTTTGCAGACTTATAGAAGTGTGGGACGTGTGATCACTTCAGTCGAGGACGTTGTTGGAGAAACATGAATAGGTTGACTAACTCAGTTCTTTATGAACATTTTGTTAAAAAATGTGGTTGCCGGCTCTGTGGTCCAGCAGCTACATGTCGAAACATCTGGTTTCACCATGATGGAGCGCTTGCACATTTTAGCAGCACTGTGCTGGAACAGCTCAATAGGACATATTCTGATCGCTGGATTGGCAAAAGCGGACCAGTTGCATCGCCACCGAAATCTTCCGAGCTGACTCGCCTGGATTTCTACTCGAGGGGATACATGAAGTCTATGGTGAACGAGACGACAGGAACATGGATCTCGTCGCCAGGTTTGTGGAAGCGACGGCACGTGTCCCTGACACACCTGCGCATTTTGAACGGAATCCTTGCGTCTATATTTTGAAGCAATGTATTGGTGGCAAATGGAAGGAATTTTGAACATCTTCTGGTACTTAATCATGTTCTTTAATAAAAGTCATATTAACACGTCTTTCGACATCCTTTCTTTCCTCTACACTTGCGAACACTGCCGTCCAGCGGTTCGCATTTTCGGACACACGTTTCTGTGTAAATCTTGTTTGTCATCGTATGACAGACCAGCTTTTAACTTTGGCAAAGACCTTTTGAGACACCCTGCATATGATAAACTGGAAATGGTACTTTGCTAGAAACTCTCTTCAGATTTTCGGGGGCGGGGATATGGAATCACTATAGTAACTGTATAATCTAAAATAAAGGATCGCTTATTGAAGCCATTTGTATTATATCTAGACAGGATATTTATTTACGTCAGGCGTAGAAGAGACTGATTTTATTAACAGCGTTTCATCTGAAGAATTTCAAAACTCTAGTAATGCAGATATGCTATCAAAGCATACACTTGGTATTCTCTTGCACTGTTGATAACGACGATACACATGATCTGACAGGAAATTCGAAAACACGTATTGCTTTACCTTACACATATCTCTGAAGGCCTCACTAGCGGCCGAGCGGTGAAGTCTTTGAACACTGATAGTTCGGTCTACGTTTCGAATTCCGCGAACGGGCTGGCTGCATGGGTATTTTCGTGTTTTCCCCCATATGTAACGCGTATACGAGCCAGTTTCCCTTAGAAAGTCCTCCACGAAGGTATCCCTCCTCTTATGCAGATAGCCCTCGAGGCTTTGCCGGAATCACATAAACCAAACCAAACTATTTCTCACTGAACGCACCGTAGTCACTATTTAGCTGCCATTCGAAAAACTAACAAGCTCTGTTTATAGACATCTAAAAATCGAGGGGACATAAGTGTAGATTAAAATGAGTTTAGATTAGTTAAGAAATTACACAGGAGAAAATTAAATGACGGCATTCGGTTCAAAACATTTATTTTAAATCTCTACATATAATAAAAGAAAGAGTCTGTGCGTGTGTGTGTGTTTCGTTCGCGCAGCGCGTAAGCTAATAGACCCACGGCTATGAAATTTGGTACATAGGGGCATCTAGACAAGAGCCAGTGCACCTCGAAACGATTTTTTCAAAATTCGAATTCGAATATTTTTTATTTATTTTTGTGACGAATCGCGCATTTTGACCATAGGGGCTAAGTAAAGCGAATTTTACTCTACACACACCATTTTCACATCGTCATAACGTAGGTACTTATATTTACAACTTAAAATAAATTTCTGTTTCAATAATCGATTCGATTAAATCAGAGGAATTCTTTTATTTTAAAAGGTCCGTTTATTTTCTTTGATTTTGGACACGTTAACTTTCATCCTTGCGACTTGCTTTGCAAAATGATAATATTTTGTATTTTTAAAAATGTTTTAAATGAGCTTCCGACACACATCTCACATCTTAAAATGTGATTTTGGCAACAATTTTCTGTCTTTTGTTGTGATAGAGTGCTGAAATTCGCTCATTGAAGAGTCATTTCTTTTAGAAATATGGTTGCAACAATGTTCATCGATTTCTATGTCACTGTTTTTAAGAGATTGGCATTTCGTCATTTAGATATATATATATATACTTTTTTGATTTTTTTTGATAAAGTTGTTCTGCAGAGTAAATTGTGCGCGGAATTTTTTTGTTTTTTGAGTTTTTTCATGTTATTTTTGCTTATTTCACTTATTTGTAGATATTGAAAAGTTTGCATGATTTTTTTTTCCTTAAAGAAAAGTTGATTAATTTTTATTAGGTAATTAATTTTGTATTAAGGGATATAGCTATTTCATTATAATTTTTCTCTTGAAAATATAAGAAAATATCATTAATTATACTTTGATTTCAGAATTTTTTGTTTTTTTTATTCTTTTATGTTTTTTGCTCTCATTTCACTGTTTTTAAGATATTGAAAAGTTTTAGTGATTTTTTTAGGAAACTAGTTCTTAACCTACTTATACCATTTGAGGTCTTAGATTTTGCGAAGGAGTTGGTTAATTTATTTATTAGTATAATAATCTGTATAAGGGATATTGCTTATTTCAATGTAATTTTGTTATACATATTTTTATAAGTTGTTCTGCAGAGTCAATTCTACGCAGTTTTTAAATTTAACGTTTTGTGTTCCCTTCAGCCATTTTTCCGGTACTTTAAAAGCCAGACGAAGGCTGGCAGCGAAGCTGCTAGTATATTATAAAAATTTAAGTTTCTTTCCTTAAAAACCAATTAAAAGACGCTCTATTCAACTGTCCAATAAATACAAAACTAGCGGCAGATTAAGAAGCAAGCGGCAGATTAAGAAAAATCACATTTTACGTATGGACAATGAAACCTAATAAAATAGAATCCAAATTTGCATATGAAAGAGCCTTTCTATTGATTAAAAGAATCAATTAGGTTTTGTTTACCAATAATCAATCGGCAGTAATACTTTACTTAAAGCCCTTTGAAATTTAAAATATGGAATTTGCGAGCAGTTAGGGGCTCAATATATCAATTTTTTGATTATGTTAATTTACAACTCTTTTGATTATGCTACCCGATTTGTTATATTTCTTTGATTATTTTACACGGTTTGTTTTGTTTCGTTGATAGTGTTACATGGTTTGTTTTGTTTCCTTGATTATTTTACTCGGTTTCTTTTATTTCCTTGATTACGTTAGAGGTTCCTTTATTTCCTTGATTATTTATACGGTTTGTTTAATTTCCTTGGTTATGTTACATGGTTTGTTTCGTTTCCTTCATAGTGTTACTCAGTTTATTTCCATGATTATTTTACACTGTTTGTTTTATTTCCTTGGTTATTTTATATGATTCGTTTTATTTCTTTGATTATTTTATATGGTTTGTTTTGTTTCCTTGATGGTGCTATTTAATCTGTATTCCCCCTTGATTATGTTACATGATCAGATTTTCCGGTACTGTTCCGTTTTGAGGACCGTAAAAAATTGCAGCGAAAATATATTCACAAAAACGCCAAATCTAGCAAACGCGCCTATTTAACAGCGCGCCAAATCTACGTACGCGCTGATTTCAGATTGCGTAAGTGATATAGTTCTATATTTCTTTAATACGCCATAGAAATACTAGTTTAATATTACAATCCTTTTTGATTAAATCCTTTTTTAATATCCTATGGATAACATTTGGGAATTGCCCATGACGAAAAGTCGGCAATAGAATTTGGGTAAAGGGAATCACCCACTGTTGACGCGTTTGAAACTGCAATACTCGTACCATGTGCACATCGACCTATTTTCACTTTAAAAATCCCGAATTGCAAAAATGGCATGCTCACACCCTTGCTTTATCTATGTACACATCGACCTATCTGCACTTAAAAAGTAAAGAAATTGACAAACCAATTGTTTTTACCCTTGTAAAAAGCGGCACAGATATCTGTGATCGATTCTGCATTTACCGAGAATATTTTTCAAAGAAAAGCATCATTCATTATAGAAATTACGTTTGAACAACCAACGAGATGACTTATGCTTTAGCGAATGATCGAAATAGTACTTTTTTTGCTTCCATTCAGTCATGTTAGCCTTTTTCATCATATAAATTATAATAAAAACATGTATATATGAAATTAACCTTTCATCTAAATTAAAACATCAATCTTAGATAGTTATTTACTATTATACTTCCTTTCTTGCCGAAATTATTAGGGTTGCCGCAATTATTTTTGGCAGCAGACTGCTAATGCTATTTTCTAACTCTTCTAGAATGGTCGGGTCACGATCGTACTCCCGTGATGTAGTCGTAGTGGATCAGGCTGTGCCTTAGGAGCTGGATCGGACGAAGGGCAGGGGGGGTGTCCTTCGCTTGCCGCCGTTGACGATGGGGACCCACGACCAGCGACATCGCCCCGCCGGCAAGACGAACCTCATGGTCGCCTGCGAGCAAGGAAGAACTCTCGAAGTCAAGATAATCCTGCAGAAGAAGGTACGATTCATCATTTCATCTCGCTTTCTTCCTACACAGGTTCTTTCTTCACTCTTTCGGATTTAGTTTTTGTTTTCGATAGCAATAATCAGTCTGCAACATATTAAAAATAAAAAAAAGCAGCATATTAAAAGTGAGATCATGTCCTTTTCCTGCTACGGAGAATGGCTTTATTTTATCTTATTAATTTGTTGGAGTCAATTCTATAAATCCTGCTATGCAGAGTGAAATTCGGTATCTTATTTTAAGGCTAAATTAGACCCTAAATATACAATATGGCATACTATTTCAATGGGGGGGGGAAGGGGAGAATTATTCGTTTTCCAGCCCATCAGTGGAAAAAATGTAAAACGATTAAACCGTCACTAACGAAAATAGGGAGAACACTAGAAACAATACGAGCATATGGAAAGAACTTTTAATGGAGAGTTGTAGCCTCGGAAATAAGCAGCGAAGAGTCCAACGCTTTCTGTCCTCGATTCCCTGCCAATATAATTCCGGCTGTCAAACAAGATACGACTGTGCAGAAACATTCCCCCCCCCCCGAAATCGATACGATGACAACATGAGAGCAAATTAAGGCCTGCTTAAAGTGACAGTTTTGACTCCCGTAGTTCAAGTTTGCAGGAGCTGTGCTGTGAGAGGTCACTAGCACTGGACGTTGTAGACCAAGGTAACCACTGTTAATACTTTCCGGTACAAAATATTTTACCCGATTTCTTAAATTTATTGCACTACTAGGAGAATATGTAACATGCAGATGCAGATGGAGACTTTTCCTTCCTTAAAAGCCTTACTTCCGTCAAAGTGTTTGTTGCCCAGAGAAAGACAGGCATGAATTCGGAAGTTGTAATCAATTTTAAAGGTATAATTATTTTTAAAATAACATTTGTCCGCTGAAACAACTGTGTTTTATTTTCACAAAAGAAGCACTGGAACCTTGTTATTTAAGGGGACTCGTACACCTTAAAACCCATAATATTTTAGAATATGTGACTGTTGCAAGAATTAGGATAACTTATTTATTTTAAAAGCAATTACTTCCAACTTTTTACAGATGACTACATAGTATAACGGATTTTTCTGAAATTTTTTTTCTGAATATTTTCTGAAATAGTGAACAGAAAGTTTGTGTTGCCAAAAATTTTTTATAATTTAATCCGCTTTTTGACAACATTTTTCGTCATGTTTTCACTTTGCGCGCATAGTTTAAAACATTCTGTCGCATAAATTAATTCTATATTTAATATACAGCTTCTATAACATTTGAAACTACTGTGACCAAAATTCTAGAATTTCATGTTAAATTTTTATTTTGTTTGGAGTCGAGTTTATAAATGTATTTTATTTAAAAAAAATCTGTAATGTTTTCGTCCATAAAATTTTTCAATATTAAAATATTCATCAGATTTTAGGTTCAGTTAAAAGATAGGGCTCATATAAATAATTCCATTAAATTTCAAGTTTGTACCATTAGCCGTTTTTAAAATATCATGCGCGCAAGGTGGAAACATGACGAAACATTTTGTCACAAAGCGGATTAAATTACAAAAATATTTGGGGCAGCACAAACTTTCTGATCACTATTTGAGAAAGCAGCTATATTATGTAGCCAGCTGTAAAAAGTTGGAAGTAATTGATTTTAAAATAAATAAAATATCCCAATTTTTGCAACAGTCACATATTCGAAGGGTGTTAAGGGGTCTAATGTGTATGAGCCCCCTTAAGGAAGCGTTGCGCTCCCGCTGGAATTACAATTTACCTGAGAAACTGAGAAGTACGGGAGCCCGGCTCCGGCACAATTTAAGCTCCGGAAGTGTACAAAATTAAAAAAAAAATCAGAACCTCTCTTATTAACCTTTTGAAGACGGGATGGCCGTTATAGTGGCCATAGATTCCTCTCTTTGAAATGGCGGGGTTGTCCACTTTAGTGGCCATGTCTTTTTCCCCCATTTTCCAGGCTGCAAAGTGGGATGAAATGTCAAATTTGACATCCCTGGGGTTTTAAGGACTTATCCCTTTCAAAGGTCTTCCTTTTGCGATATAGATGCACCCCTCTGAGAATCCATTAAACTACGCACAAGAATCTTTGTTGCAAATAGGAGGTGATTTCTTAAAGGGGAGAAAACATTCGTTTCAAGATTCCCCGTCCTTTGCTAGCTTTTACTGCTATCAAAGCCCCGGCCTCAAAAGCGTAATAAGTCTCTTATTAATAAATTAGTGTAATTACTACTTATTTATTGTTCAAGTGTTTTTCCTCTTTCTTTTCAGCCTCTTTCCGTCGCTAGTCGCGACCGCAACGGGAAGACGGCGCTGCACTACTGCGCTGAGTCCGGTAGCGTTCCCTGCGCCCAGCTGGTCGTGAACGCAGACGCCACGCTACTCGACCTCCACGACAACGACGGATTCACGCCCCTCCATCTGGCGGTCATAGCCGGAAACAGGGGTGTAGCGAAGCTCTTCCTCAAGCACGGAGCCGATCCGGACAAAATGGACAAAGAGAGACATTCCACTGTACACTGGGCATCAGGTGAGCTTTCTTTCCTCCAGTGTCCAATTAAACAATTGAGTCCAAGAGGGTATTATTCATGGTTTTCCAAAGCCAAGTGTTTTTGTTACCCAAAGGTCTATTTCCTTGCTGGCACAATTACTCATTTTCCCAAATTCTTTGCCTTTAATGCTCAAATTCCTCGCTGCCACTCAAATCCCTTGCCTTCAATGCCATCTCAATAACTCAGTTCCTCAACTTCCTGGCCTTCAATGTCCGAATTCCTAGCTACAGATTTACGAGAAATTACAAATGATTTGTGGACCTCTTATGGCACCGCATTACTAAAGGAATCCTGAAAAATGCCAGTGGTCAGAACTGCTACATGATTTTTGTGCTAAGCTGTATACCATAGATTCTTAACGTGGCACCATCGCCCACTGAGTGGCAAGGAGTGGGCGATTTTCGTTATTTGTCCAGCGACAGTAAGGGAACATTGGAAAGCAATTGGGCAATAGCTCACTGAAAATGTTTCAAACAGACGTTTAAACATTTACTTGATTATACGAGTACTACAGTCACCCAGCTTTACTAGAATCATAATCATCATTTGATCTTTTACGTTTGTTACCATTTGCAATTGCAGGTATATTTTTATGTCCAAAAAAGAAATTATAAACCATCACTATCCTCCAATGCTTAATCATGACCATGTTACATCCATTAATATCTACAACGTGTAAATAACGCGTAACTAGCATCTGGTTCATCCTGGCTCTGGAAACCGGATTTCTAGGGGTTGCACGGGCTTCTGAAAGGCTTACAATAAATCTCCCTAGAGCTCTGGGAATTCTAGGCGTTTCTTGAAATTTTTAGAATGTCCCCAGTCAACGAGAAATCGCTAAATATTACCAACCTGGCAACACATATTGTTTGTTATAAAGACCTAATGAGGAGCATTTTCATCTATACCTCGCATTTTATTTGAGTTATTTCAACAGTTTAAAAGTCATTGGAATTAGGATTGGAAGATCTACAATTCTATGTACGAAATAAACATTTACACAGAAAACACGGGGCGACAAATTCAATTATACATAAAATTAACCCTAAGACTTTTACCCAAGGTCGAAAATTATGCAAAACGATGCACAATGTCACAACAAAGGACAGATTCAGACTGTGAAATAACTGTATCGTTTATTTAGTTAATATTTCTGGACACTTTAACAGTGTTCCACTATATTAGTTTAGAAGTCAAACAACAAACATATAGCCTAGCATGAACCTAGTGTTACACTAGGTTGAACACACGAATCTAGTGTTACACTAGGTTCATGCTGTCAATATGGGCGGGCACTTTCAAAGCTGCTCACTGTTTTTACTGCATCTGTTTCTTTCCAGTGTGTGGGGACGTCGAAAGTTTGGAAATGCTGCTGAACCACGGCGCTAATCCTTCTTCCCCTGACATCCTGGGGGCGTATCCTATCCATTACGCGGCTCAGATGTGCGGGGCGCATTCCCTCAACGGCAAGGACCCGGAGACAGGCATCAGCACACTCAAGAAACTGGTTCAAAAAGGAGCCCCCGTACAGTGCAGGGATCGCGATGGACGAGAGCCCATGCTTTGGGCTGCCAGCACAGGTGAGTGTCACTGGAGGCTCGTTCGTGCTGATAGTTCAACTGTATAACCACGTAGCTGAATTTTCCCCCTGTTTTTTTTTACTAATTTCATGGCTCGGAAATCAAGAGGGGAAAATTGTACGAATCATTTAATTTCCGAAAAAAGCGATTACAGTAAGAACATAAAAAATCCAAAGTAGTCGTGGATAAAGTACAGGAAAGTGTTACAATATTATTTCTTTAAAAGAAATCTACACCCTAAAAAGGATACATAATAATAATATTATTACGAATTCATAGAAATATTATTCTGAATACACAGTAATATTAACATCAGAAATACGTAGCAAGATTATGTCACAATATTTAGTAAAAAGAAATGCAAAAGAATACATAATAATGTTAACATAACAATACAGAATACATAGTAATTTTAAGGGGCCTCATACACCTTAAACCCCTCATGATCTTCGAAAATGTGACTGTTGCAAGAATGGGATATTTTATTTATTTTAAAAGCAATTACTTCCACCCTTTTACAACTGACTGCATAATATAGCTGCTTTGGAAACTAGTAACCAGAAAGTTTGTGTTGCAACAAATACGAGTATTTTTGTAATTCAATCCTCTTTGTGACAAATAAATTTTCGCCATTTTTTCCACCTTGCGCGCAATATTATTTAAAAATGGCTGTGTACATACTTGAAATTAGATGGAATTATTTATATGGGCACTATTTTCTAACTGAACCAAAAATATGATAAATATTTAATATTGAAAAATTTTATGGACGAAAAATTACAATTTTTTTAATAAAATACTTTTTATAAACTCGACTCCAAATAAAATAAAAGTTTAACATGAATTTTTAGATTTTAGGTTCACAGTAGTTTCCAATGTTATAAAGATATATAAATATGGAATTAAATTATGCAACAGAATATTTAAAATGTGCGCTGCAAGATGGAAACATGACGAAAATGTGTCACAAGTGGATTAAATTATAAAAACATTTGTGGTAACACAACTTTCTCATGACTATTTCAGAAAGCAACTATATTATGTAGTCAGCTTTAAAAAGTTGGAAGTAATTGCTTTTAAAATAAATAAGTTATCCCAATTGTTGCAACAGTTACCTATTCGAAGATGTTATGGGTTTTAAGGTGTATGAGTCCCCTTAACATCACAATACAGAATACATAGTAATATTAACATCACAATACAGAATACATAGTAATATTAACATCACAATACGGAATACATAATAGAATAATGTCTGGTAATATTTTTAACATCACAATACAGAACACATGGTACGCAAAAGAATGCATAGTAACATTAACATCAAAATACCAAATAAAATGTCTTATTTAATTTCTATTTCACTTTAATCATTTCTGTTGCCCAACCGGTACGGTGGTTAGTGACTCATATTGTCGTACCGAAGGATCCGGGTTAGAATCCCGAAGAAAGCATGGATGTTTGTAAATGTATACTGCGTGTGCGGCATGGGACACTCTAAATATGCGGCATGCCGAAGGTCTTCTCGAGAGCTTGGTAGTATGCGAAGAGGCGTGGGGGCTTGTCCTCCTCCGGGGGTGCTCTCTGCGTAAAGTGGGAGCAGAATTGAGCTTAAAGTCGGTCTGTCACCTATATGGTGTTCAAGGCTCTTGCCAACGACAGGCCCATATGACTACTTGCCACGATGAATCTCGTGTACTTGTCCTGACCTTTGTCAGACAAGTGAGACTGGTAACAACAACAACAATATTGTTACCTATGGCCATTCCTTAAGCCTGGAATCACCCGTAAATCACTGAACAACGTGAGTGTGGTGTGAACGTGCATCCGACTTCAACAGTTCAACTAAGGTGAACGTGCAGCCGACTCAGTGAAATCGTAACCTGAATGTCGGTTCGCATTTGCTTAGCCGAGAAGGGTCGGTTCTTCCTTTAGATTGGAATAAACTTCTAAACTTAGATGTTTCGCATGATCTTTGCAGGTGGTTTACAAGGTGAAACGAAACCAATCACTACGTACACCAATTCATTTAAAAATTTAAGGGATTTTGTTCTCTGAATGCAATGAGGAAGAGGAAAATGGACGCGGATTTTTAAAAAATTTTTAGAATCTGTCCTTAAAAAGCTGGGAGGGGGCAGAATATGAAAGAAAATACGGTATGTTTTCAAGTACTCTATAAAATGAATCTGAAATCATGATTTACGCATTTATAAAAATTTACATGCTCATTAAAATGAATCACAAACCGTAACCTATAGCCGCATTCCTTAAAGATTTCCACAAAATCGTTCCCTTTAAAACAGAACGGTGAATCCGTTGCAAAAGACTGTTCTCATGAAAATGAATCTTCACCTATCATTCTCATGTTAGTCAAATTGAACATACTCCTGCATATACTTTCTTTGTACCATAGACCTTGTGACGTGATATTTAAATTTTTTTTAGGTAGCAGTGAAGCTGTGTTGGTGCTTTTTGCAGCTGGTGCCAACGTTTCAGCTACAGATAAAGACGGCCTTACAGGTAAGTCCGTAATTTTTAAGCCTGAATGCGAATTCATCAGGCCAGTAGACGAGGAATGATATAACAATAACAGCTGTCGTTTAATTCAACCACCTATTTGCTATGACTTCCTCCCCGCATTAAAAAAAAAATTCTCACTTAACAGCTTTTGCGATGAAAGCCATTACCATTTCCCGCTTCCATTAATACAGACATATCAAAGTGTCAAACCAACCAAAAAGGAGGATTTACAAAGGTATTCAGGTAACATTCCAAAACTTCACCACAGAATTTAAAAATATCATTTTTGGCAATGCTATTCGATAGTGAAAAAGAGCAATGTCAAATACTATATAAAAAAATGAAATGAATGGTGAATGATATTTACGGAGAAATGTATGATATTTACAATTGCAAAATCAAAGTGCGTGCAATGACAAATGTTATATGCAAGGCCAAAAAAACGTTATTCTCATAAACAAATGTTGTATGCAATGGTAAATGCTATTTGCAGTGACAAACGCTACCTGACATTGCAAAAACTAATGCTGCTCAATGATAAAAGAATTTGATTTCTGAGCTTTTCTACCAACGTGACTGAACTTCCAATTAAATACTGGTTCTGCTTCATTTACATAAAGCGATACTGAAATCTCATTCTGGCAGGGAGTTGTAGGTAAAAACAAAAATTTAAAGGAAAGTGTTTCAAAATTAAAAAAAAAAAACTATTTTAAAATTAAAACAATCCTTGCAATTCATTACATTAGAATTATTTTAATAAAACAGTCTAAGAGTTTAATATTTTGCTATCAATAAGTTTGAATTCCAAAGTCTAAACTTCAGATTTCTTACATATATCAACCAGCCCTTTCAAACTAAAAATAAACATAAATTAATATTTTTTTTTCCTTTGCATTAATCGGGTCGCATGAAATTTGAATTTGACGACACTGTCCAATAGAAATTCCTAAAGAGTTTTGTTAACCTCTACAGAAAAGTTTCCCAATCGTAATCTGATATTTTTTCCAAGTTTCAACTATTTTTAAATGTCTTACTATTATTATTACAATTAAATAGTCGTAATGGTTTTCTAAATCCCTCATACTATTGCTCTTTCCAGCCTTGCACTGCGCGGCAAGCAGGGGACACACTTCTTGTGTAGAGACGCTTGTGACGCTATGTGGAGCGCGGGTCAACGCTGGCGACAATATTGGCTGCTCCCCTTTGTTCTACGCGGCTGCTCAAGGTCACGCCGACTGCGTCCAGGTGCTACTCAAGTACGGAGCGGACCCTAATCTTCAAGACGATAAAGGAAGAACGTAAGCATTGTTGATTATTCTGGCGAAGTTATTCTTAAACTGTGATCCACGAATCTATAAAGGTTCACTGTTTTCCTCTGATGACCTAAGCACGGGCTCAATGGTTAAGCCAGCCCTAAATACAGTTTTAGTTTATCATGCAAGCGACTAAAACAGTAGACTGGGGAAGTGTTATTTTAGTACTTCAATGAGATATGCATCTCCAAAATATCAGAGTGGCCCTTGAATATAAAAAAATATGCGTGTATTTCCGTAATTTTCGAGCAGAGTAATCCTTCTGAATATTCAGTATTTTCAGTGTATATTCAGTATCCAATGTATATACTGCATACTCAGTATTTTCAGTGTATATTTTGTATCTCAGTCTCCAGTGTATATTATGCGTATTTAGTATTTTCAGTGTATATACTGTATATTCAGTGCACATTCTATATATTCCACATCCATTCAGTATGTGTACATATTCAGGAATACGTACAAGGAAGTGGTAGAAAAAAATGGCACTTCTTTTGCCTATCCAAGAAAGTCTGAGTTACCTTGAGTAAAAACACACACTATATATATATATATATATATATATATATCGTAATGAATTTAATGTTATGTGAAGTTGCACTCGTTTGTTTCATGGGTTACAGTTAGCCATTTTCTTTCGCATGCTCTTAATTTGCATAATCTTCTGTTCCGAGCGAATATAATAGGGGGACCGGAACGTAATATCGTTTTCTTACATTAAATTCACACGAATAAATTTTTAACACGTTTTTATTTTTAATCATTAATGTAATCACCCTCGTTATCAACAACCTTTTTCCATCTAGTGTGCAGATTTTAGATCCCCAGACCGATATAAGTCAATTGGGTTTTGAGTAAAATATCTCAAGATGGGCATTTTGGACATCATTCAGATTTTGAAATTTTTTGGCACTAAGAAAATGTTGTAGGGATCGGAATAAATGGAAATCCGAGCGTACGATATCGGGCGAGTATGGTGGGAGATGCAGCACCTCCCATCCCAATTCATTCATTTTTTCCAGTGTCCGTCTTGCACAGTGCAGTCTTGCATTGTCGTGTTGCAGAATGATGCCTTTTCTATTGACAATCGCCGGATATTTTTCGATTAAAGATTGGTTCACTCGATCCAATTGTTCACAATAAAGATCTACATTAACAGTTTGTACAGGTTTCAGCAATTCAAAACGAACAATTCCGCTAATACTCCACCAAACACACAGAAGCGCCTTTTTGGGATGTAAACCCTTTGCAACCCCTATTAAAACTGCCTTTTGCGTTTTGGATTATCATATACGACCAATTTTTCGTCTCCAGTAATCAAATGATCATAAAACGGTTCTGTATGGTGCCGTTGAAGCAATATGTTGCATGTGATGGATCGGTTGGCTTTGTTCTCTTCGGACAGATTACTGGGGACTCAAACACCTGCTTTGCTTATTTTTCCGTTCTGCTTTAAACGTTCTTGGATGGTCGACCTAGGTTGGTTAACAGTGTTTGACATGGATTTGTTTCCACTTCTGCCCTTAGAATGTTGTTGTCGACATGCGCAGAAACGACATTACTTTCCGATCCCCCTATTATATGATTAGAAAGAAGCATTAGGACTGTGTTAAATTTGGTTTTACTTATAGTAAAATTTAAAAATATTTGTTAGAATTTTACCCTTTCAGAATAAAGTCATTTCAACTTTGCCTTTTTTTCTCTTTCTCCTAACATAGCCCTGCGCACTGCGCTGCAGCTAAAGGTCGTTTGGAAATCGTTCGAATCCTGGACAGTAATGGCGCTGACTTGTGGATCCGCAACAGCAGAGGAAACCTGCCTCTCCATGAAGCGGTGCAGTCGGGTAGAAAAGGTACACTTTTAAAATACCTTTTTTTTTTTTTTTTTTTGTTCAAAGTCCCAATATTCCATTCACACTCACTCCATCTAATTGCTGCCACCAGTGATTGAGCGGTAAAGACCTTGAACTTAAACCTGGATTCCATTTCGGTCGAATGGGCTGGCTGCATGAACATTTTAGTGATTTTTCCCCATACATAACGTGAACGTTATCAAGTTTTTTAGAAAGTCTTCCACGAAGGCAACCATCCCCTTAAGCAGGTAGCCCTCGTATGCTTCGCCATAATTTTTCTGCACCACGACAGTTCCCACACACTCTAACTGAGAAGAAAACATGTTTTCGTTCTGAAAGCTTCCTAATCTAATGCTAACTGCTTAAAATTAATGAAACTTAAAATAACAAAAACACCGCGCACACATACACTGAACTGTCAATCTCGAAATAAGGCCCAGCAATGTCCCAACAGTAAGAATGCTGAACATTCCTTTGAGAAAATGTTTTATAGAGTTCCCCCTCCCCTCCCCGAAAAGAGTCCAGTAATAAACGTCTTTGGAATTACTGCCCTGTTTCCTATGAATTAGGTCAGAGACCTTCTGTAGAATTTTTTAAAGCTTTATATACAGTTTCTATGGAATTATGCATAGAGACTTATCAAATTTAGACTGAGTTTCTAGGGATCCGATATATAAAATCTTATATGCTTTATATATGTTACCGACAATGCATGAAACACAAGCATTCTAAATGCCTAGACATTTTAGAGAATGACGAAAGCTGGCCCGCAATGTTTGACATGAGCAAAATGCCAAATGACAAACTGGTAAAAAGCAGGAAATACAGCTGCTATTTAGTTATACAATAACACGCTAAACAAGTATTAATTTAGAAAACAAACAACAGAAATCAGCGTTATATTTTCAAATTTTCACAGGACTAGTTTTGATGGTTTTACCTTACCGAACTATCATCCTCAGCTGCCAAAGCGCAAGTGAACGAAATGAGATATAGTGATTAGATAAGATAAGAATGGCGGGACAGGAGTTGAGCTACTGGCGCCATCTGTTGATGAAGCGAGAACTAAAACATAATTTCTTTAAAGAAAAGCTTAAATTACTTACTAAGAAAAGCTTAAATTATTACAAGCTTAATACAGCTCTCATTTGTTTCGAATATTCATGCATTTAATGTATTCATACATAATCCATACATTTATTACATTTCTTCCATTATTTCTTATACATTTTCATGCATTTCATCCTTATTAAAGAAGAAATAATGCATTATACATTTTCATGCATTATTTCGTCTTTAATAAGGAAGGCATAAATTTTGTTTTGTACTACTTTCCATCCTCTTATTCGGCTTTAAGTCTTTACTCAACCTTTATTTTTCGAATCATATAATTATCATAAATTTAAAAAAAATAATTTTGGACAAATAACGTAATATAACTTTTAATGTGCTCTCCCGGTTCCTGTACCTATATTTGGGAAAGTTTTACACTTGTAGGATTCTCCACTGTGTGCTTCTAAGTTAAAGTTGAAAGTGAAGAATCTTAAGAACTAGTAAGTGAATAATCGCTTCAGTTCGTGAGACAGAAAACATCAACTAAGAAGAGTGAAATAACTCTTTATTAATCCAACTAAAGCTTAACAAAACTCCGTCTTGGAGTTGTACAATAAAGCCGACACTTAGGCTTGAGCTTAAAAGACTAAGTATCAAACTAAACTAATCTTAAATAAAGAGATATAGCCGAAGCTATCAAAATTCTAAACAGAGTTAGCCCCTTAACGCTAATTGACTACGAAGCTATCAAGGGCCTAAAGTACAGCCGAGCGTAATAATAGCTTAAGAGAGAGAGAGGCCTAAAAAGGCAAACGCGTACAGCCAGAATATCTGGTATCTTTCTCACTAAGACTGTAGAACTTCGCGGTTAAATACCGCTCTTCATCAGTAGCATTGAGACGTGATTCTAAAACTACCTTCTGGCCGGAAGTGGTAAGTTTAAATTAAGAATCGATAGGAAAGGAAGTTTAACTCAAACTTTAACTGTTAATAAATTTAATATAATTCTTACACACCGTTATGAAAAAGTAAAATTCTAAGAAGTTTGACTGGGATACTTAATTTCAAAATTTGCAATTTTTGATATCATTGTCAACTTACCCAGAGGGATAGATTAATTAAGTTAGAATAATTCGAAGCAATAAATTTAAATGAATTGGAGCAAAAAATCTGTGTAATTTAATAGGCCATAAAGGAAGTTATATGTTGTCCACATCAGTTTTTTTCTTTCCCTTCATTTTTTTCCTCCTTTTTTTCTTAGCACTAATGTTGCTATCAAAGCCCACTTTTTTGTTGAAATCACTTTTCAAATATTGGCAGCAAATTTTATCCCCGATTATTACTTTCAAAGAAATAATGCAACAAATATTAAAAAAAATCTATGAAAACAGAAATAAAAACATATTACGACTAGTGGTATCCCTACGTGTTATTTTTAATGAATACACATATTAATTTTTAATGAATAAATATAATGAATATTAACCATTGTATGGCAATAGAAATAAAAACATGTTACTAACCGAAAAGGTTAGAATAGACAGATGATGATGTCATAAAATAAACCTGATAACACAAAAGTGAAGCCACGTCAGCAACGTGACGTCAAGTCTTATCATGAAAATGTCTGCAACGTGACGTCTAGTCTTATCATGAAAATGTCAGCAACGTGACGTCAAGTCTTATCATGAAAATGTCAGCAACGTGACGTCAAGTCTTATCATGAAAATGTCAGCAACGTGACGTCAAGTCTTATCATGAAAATGTCAGCAACGTGACGTCAAGTCTTATCATGAAAATGTCAGCAACGTGACGTCAAGTCTTATCATGGCCGCCATACAGCGGGTGGGTAAGACTACAAAACATATTGTTAAATATAATTAAACTGAGTTTGAAAGCAAATATCAATCTCCACAATCTCAGAAAAGCGTTTTTAGGCATAATCTACATAAAATATCATTGAAACTTCCAATGATCTTTTAGGGTTTACCATGTATACACTTGTGTTATAGTTACCATTTACGCATTCTAGTTACCTAGATTTTATTAAATTTGAAAGAGTTATTTGCAATCCTTATGATTTTTCCATATGCTAAACAGAAAATCTTTATGAAGTATTAAAATTAGAACGTTAGACCTATAAAAGTTTACTGATGAATAGTTAACATGTAGGTAGGCAACGCCGATTAGAATGTAAACAAAACCAACCAGAAATCTGCTTATGGTAGCGGCCATGATAAGTGGTGACGTTGCATGGCTTCATTTTCATTGCACGGGACAAATTCTTTGCCAGAATGAATTGAGTATAAACAGGTGAATCTTAACATTATAAACAGTTTATTCAGAGTATATTATGTTTATTATAGTATATTATGTTTATATATGTTTATTCAGAGTTTATTATGTTTATTATAACAGTTATTATTGAGTATAAACAGTTTATTCAAAACGCGTTTTCGCTAGCCAGCGCACGATACCAATCTGTTCTTGCTGTTACGCGGAGTTGCTGATACGCCTTTTTGGCCATTTAAATAAGCATCACGCCAGGTAGGGTGTCGGGCCAACCTAGTTCGCCTTAATCCAAAATATCAGGCCAGCACTACTCTTCAGTTTTGAGCTTATTGTATAACGATTCTTAAGTTCCACCGCAAGTTATCGGTGTTATTGTAAGCATGAAGAACGTGCCTTTCTGTTCAGAGTTTGAGCAATACCAAAGGATCATTTTTATCCTTCTTCTGTGCTGGTTTTCTTACGCCTGTGCAAGCAGTTGCCAGGTTCCTTAGTAGGATCTAGTAGAGTTTCATCTTACAGGTATAACACGAGTATATAGCTTCTGAAATCTCAAGACGATTTCTTTGAATACTTTATTTGGAGTTGAGTTGAGTTGAGAGCAGAATCTGGACAAAAAAAGTATTTTTCAGTTAAGTATTTCTCAGTTACGTATGGCTATCCTTTATAAATTGATGTTTCACGTGGAAATGCCTTCTGGGGCGGACCGGCCCCGCCCCGCTACCTATGCGATGGTGCTTTGTGGATTATCCAGAACGAAACCGAAATTCCTTCTGCAAATTTAAAAGGCGTTCTCTTTTTCCATAAGAATGTGTACAGTTTTGGTAAATTTATCGTTCTTCAGTGATTCTGAGAGATTGGCGAGATGGATTTCTAGGAAGTACTCAGAAACATATTTCCTCCACACGTCTTAGGAACCTCCGAAAGACATCCTCAGAAACATCTTTGTCTCCATGCACCTAGAGACGTCCGCAAGACGTCCTCAGAAAGATATCTTATCCGTAAG